CCCACCACTCGTGAGCGAGAAATTCTTTCTCCCAGGCTCTCCCCAAAGGAAGCATAAAACCTAGAAATGTGAGAACAGTGTGCTTCCTTTTGAGCTTTAAGAGGATTTGTGTCCTTTTCACCATCTTTTCACCTTTTAACTAATTGGTTGTTGTTTTTTTAACCTGAATTCGTGAGATGGTTTGCTCACAAATGTTTTGTGGGCAATTTCAACAATAACTCACGGGAAAATTGCTTCAACAAAAATCAAGCAACCCGAGTCAGGAAAACAACACTTGCTGTCTTCAAAGAAATGCCTAAAACTGCTTTTTTTTTTTTTTTTTCCAGCTTCATAGAAGTAGAAGTGAGTGTTCTGAGTTCCAGAATCCATAGTATTACTAAAGCTGAGGAAGTCATGAACAGAGAGAAGAAATACATTGTACCTGTTTGACCCAATGACTAGATTAGATCTAATACGGCACCTGAGTAAATGCTGGTTTTCATTATTATCATTATTGTCTTGGTTTTTTGCTGTTGTTGCTTTGGTTTGTTGTTGTTGTTTTTTAAGCAAGCATTTACTGTATTCTTTTAACATGAACCTTCCTAGACAGGAAAAACAAACAAACAAAAAATCTGTGGCTTGATACATTGGACTGTGACCTAACTGGGGGCAAAAAACAAATTTTATTACCTCCATTTCCAGCCATGATTTCTTGGTTTAATTTGAATTCAAAACATGCAAATTGTTCCGAGGGAATTGGATGCTAACAATTACATCGGGACGTGAGGTATCTGATTGCAGGCTGTACCCTCAGCTACCCCTGGCTGAAATCACTGTGACTCCTTAATCGCCTTGATGAATGATAGAATCCCAAGGGTGGTGACTCCTTTGCAATCTGCTTACTTAAGTTCATACTTACACGTAACTTTTTTAATGTTTTCCTGTTTATTTGTCCTGCTGTTATTGCAGTAAGATAATAGCCTCCGCTTCACCACTCCACTTCTGTGTCTGTGATCATAAAAAGCCTGATGGATCAATATGAGGCTTTTAATGTACTTTTTCTGCGTTTTTCATTAAAGGTTTGCAGGCAGGGTATTAAAATGAGACATAATCTCTTTCTAGCATTTGGTTCCGAAGAAGAGGGCTTCCCAGGGAGAGGGAGGGTCTACACGTGGTGGCTTTCGTGAAATAAAGCAATGGAGCAATTTTATGGGACTCTTGCTCTCTCAGGGATTAGAGATCGCGGAGCAGATGTCTGAGGCAACTTCTGTGTGCATTCAAACGCACTGCCCTTCTTTGGATTTTTTTTTTTTTAATGTTTATTTTTGAGAGAGACAAAGAGACAGAGCACGAGCAGGGGAGGGGGAGAGAGACATGGAATCCGAAGCAGGCTCCAGGCTCTGAGCTATCAGCACAGAGCCCGACTGGGGGCTTGAACCCAGGAACCGTGAGATCATGACCTGTGCTGAAGTCGGACGCTTAACTGACTGAGCCACCCAGACACCCCCTTATTTGAATGTTTAACTCTCGTTGTGAGGCTCAAATCACAAAGGGTTTATTCCAGTGCACCTTAGTGTGTGCTCGGCAGTGGTTGATAACAGGCTGGGGTGGAGGGGGGCAGGAGATAGCCCTAATTTGTAGCATTTGCTGATTTCTAAGGTGTAAGTACTCCCCCCAAAGCCAGTCTCAAGCTATCAAATGATGCCACTGAACGTGGCGTGGGGAAGAGACACAGAATAGCTCATCATTCAGTGCTCCTCCGCGGTACAAATACATGAAGATAACCGCACGAGAATCGATACCAGGAAAATGTAGCAAAATAACTGGGAAGTGATGGGTTTTGAATTCCTATTAGCTTCATTTTTAACAAAACGCATTTAGTTGTAAGTTTACATATGTTTTACTAACGACCGGGTTTAACAATCAGCTTGCGGAATTCCTAGAAACTGAGCCACGGGGGTCTGACCTAGCTGACTCCAAGGGGCTGGTGCACCTGCTTTTCTGAGCAACAAAGCACCTTTTCCTGGGTAAATGATCCCTTCCACAACGCCTCTGGCCCTTAGGGGAGAGATGCCTGTAGTCATTTTCTGGAAAGCTGGCTATATTTGCGGAAAGCACTCATAAAGCAAAGTCAGTTGTGGGAGCAGGCTGTGCTCACGATGCAAAAGGCACACCCCCCGGGCTGGGCGTCAGGAACACTCCCGAGGCATGGCCATAACCCAGCAGGCCCTCAGCGAGTGGCGTTTCACTATGACAGGACGTGGAAATTGTGCAGCAAGGGTTCAACAATTCTGCCTTGAGATTTAACGGAAAGAAGACATGAATTGTATTTATTATGCGGTATACTGTTTGCTTGCCCTATTTTTTTTTTCTTAAAGTTTATTTATTTCTTTAAGAGAGAGACAGAGAGCAAGAGGGGAAGGGGCAGAGAGAGAGGGAGACAGGGAATCCAAAGCAGGCTGTCGGCTCTGAGCTGTCAGCACAGAGCCCCACGCGGGGCTTGAACCCACAAACTGCGAGATCATGACCTGAGTCAAAGTCGGGCGCTTCATCGACTGAGCCACCCAGGCGCCCCCTCCTGTTCTTTTAATGGGGTGGGGAGAGGCAATTTGACTTTAGATCACTCATAAGAGTTTTCCACATTATTTATTCTTTCTTTCAGAGTACATTTTCACACCATTTACTGAGGTAAACCTGTCTTTGGTAATTTATTCATGCGTTCATTCTTCACATATTTATCGGGTCCCCACAGCATGTAAAGAGTTGTAGTAGATGAAAGATATTCAAAGACAAGTAAGTCAGTCCCTTCTGTCCCGGAAATCACAGTCCAGCAAAGAGACAAATACATATATAAATCACAATTTAATATATTAATTTCTTAGTGTAGAAATAAAGTGTTGGGGTGCCTGGGTGGCTCAGTTCGTTGAGCATCCAGCTCTTAATTTAGGCTCAGGTCATGGCCCAAGGGCTCTGGGACCAAGCCCCGTGTCAGGCTCTGCACTGAGTGTAGAGCCTGCTTAAGATTCTCTCTCTCCCTCCCTCTGCCCTTTTCCCCCGCTCACAGTCTCTTTCTCTCTTTTAAAATAATAAAGTAAAATAAATAAAATAAAATAAGAGAGAAAGTGTTATATGAGCAAAGGGTATGAACAACTGGTTAGAATTTTTAATACATTTCTCCATAGTAGAATTGAGGGACTAAGTAATAGTTTAAAGAAATATCCCCAGGGGTGCCTCGGTGGCTCAGTCAGTTATGCATCCGACTTCGGCACAGGTCGTGATCTCACGGTTCATGGGTTTGAGCCCCGTGTCGGGCTCTGTGCTGACAGCTCAGAGCCTGGGGCCTGCTTCGGATTCTGTGTCTCCCTCTCTCTGCCCCTCCCCCACTTGTGCTCTGTTTCTCTCTCTGTCTCTCTCTCTCTCTCAAAAATAAACAAACATAAGGAGAAGAAGAAGAAGAAGAAGAAGAAGAAGAAGAAGAAAGAAAGAAAGAAATATCCCCAAGAGGCGCATGATGAAGAAAGGACCTTAGATTTCAAGCCGTTTCCTGCATTTATTCCCAGCTTCTGTTTTGATGACACTCCATTGGTAGTGGCATCTGAGTTGTTCAGTCCACACTGGACTGAACAGGAAGGGATCAGCGCTCAGTGCTCTGACCTCACTGGGACTCAGGTTAGTCTTCAATCATAGCAGAGAGAAGAGCTGACTAAAGAAAATGGGATTGTTTCAGGGATTCGGGTAGCCACAGTGTGGCCATTTTGGAAAGCCATAGATGCTCTATTTCCTTCTCCAGGCCTGGGCCATTACCTTCTGCTTCTCTCTTGTCTCCTCTCTCTCTGTCTCTCTCTTTTTCTCCCTCTCTGCTGGGCGATATCCTTGTTCTGCCTTACTCATGGCCCATAAAGGCTGCCTTAGCCTCCTCAGTAACATCACAGCTCTCCATGTGTTGTATCTTTCTGACCTCTTCCCTTCAGTGCTAACCTTGGATGGATTAGGAGCTTACTAAGTCCAGGCAGCTGGGGACCAGGGCTGGCAGAAGACACACTCTCCAGAGCATGACTGCTTGGGGCAGTAGCAGGTCCAGCCAGGAATCCCCCAGAAGGAAGTGTGGACGGGTAGGCAGTGTGAAATATTGTGGGCAGGCCCCAGGGAATGCCGGGGAAGAGTACCGGACCGGAAGTCAGTCAGCCCATGTGCTTGGCCTAGCTTCTCCGTTTGCCACTTGCGGACCTTGAACAAAAGACTGCTCTCCAACTATGGCTTTCCTCATCAGGAAAATGGGATTGTACTGGTACTTGCCCTGCCTACGTTTTCTGAGGGCCGTATTGAAAATAAAGGCTTACCAAAGTGCTAGGAAGACAACTGAGCACCGAACAGTGTAAGGTGGCTGAGGGAATTTATGTATGTACGTCTTCAGAGACAGTCACGGCATGGGCAAGTTCAGAGGCAAAGCACAGAGGCACTTCCGTTAAAAGACGGTAGGTCGAAGGAGAGGGGACAAGACTGGGCAGAGCAGAGCCTGGGGGCACTGGCTTGGTTCTGGAGGCAAGTGGTACCTGTACGTTCCGGGGGAGGCCCCTCTCTGCTTCCTGTTTATTCAACTACTGTTTCTTCCTTTAATCCCTTCCCCCCATCTGGCCCAGAGACGTTCGGGAACAAGAACAACAGAAAATGGCAAAGTCTGCTTTTCTTAAACTTCTGGCTTATTTTTCCCTGACACAATGGCTCAGAGAGCCTGTAACCTGCTTGACTAGAGATAAAGGGGAGATTAAAATTTTCATGTCCTAATACATTATCCAGGCCAACATTTCTCCCTAATGGTCAATAATGATTCAGGAACCAAGTGGGACAGATCGTCACTAATTCCGTTGGGAAACTCTGGGAAGGCAAGAGCCAACCCAAACCGTAGGATGCTGAATTATTTCTGGAAAAAAAAAAAAAAAAAAAGAATTGTTAGAGATCTTTACTAACGTAGAGGTGTTTTAACCGAATGGCAATTCATCCCCACTCACCTGGATTGGCAGCTGTGATGATTTGGCTTTTGTTCCTCCCGGTGATGTCGAAGAACGTGGGGATGCGGAGAGTGGAGTGATGGGAGCTGGGATCAGTGGTCAGGGGGCCACCAAGCGCCGCTTGGACAAAGGACTGGAGTGCCCCCTGCTCCGAAAACGTGACAACATGGAAGGACTCTGCAGATTCCAAGTCACAAAGTTCTTGGGATGGCATACAGCTCACGTCCAATCTCAGTACTACGCAACAAATGTAGAACGAGAACGTACTGTGAGCTGGCAACCGCTCCCTGTGGGGAATAGAAAGATAAACAGGATGGGTTCCTGGCGTTCAGAGTTTGTGGCAAAGGACAGAAGCCGTGGAAGATCGTTATAGTACGAGGTAGAGTGTGCAGAGCTGAGCCAGGTGTCCTGGAGGTGCTGCGGGCACACAGGCTGGGGGGCAGCCCTAAGGCAGGACTGGAAGGGGAGACTGGAACCCTCAGCTGGGCAAGTCTCAGAGCCCCCGTTCCCTGACCTAGAAGACATTCGTAAGCAGGTCTTCATAGATGGCCTCTGTGAAAACACCAGAGTTGGTTACAGAGTTGGTATTCAACCATCTCTCTCTTGTCCTCTTTAGAATTTGCTTAATAACAGCAAACAATAAGTCATTAACCCAAATAATACAATTAGAAGAAAATCTGACTTCTGGAGGTTTTAAGGCTTTTTTAAATGTTTATTTATTTTGAGAGTGAGAGAGAGAGTGTGCGTGCACAGAAGAGGAGCAGAGAATGGGGGAGAGAGAGAATCCCAAGCAGAGATTCAGCGCAGAGCCTGATGCGGGGCTCGAGCCCCAAAACCGTTAGAGCATGACCTGAGCCCAAATCAAGAGTCAGACACTCAACCGACTAAGCCACCCAAGCGCCCCATGTTAAGTTTTATAAAAGAAAAATTCTGTCATGATCATAACGTCCAAGCCCAAGATAATGTCACTTAGGTTTCAACAGAAGAGGGGTATCTGCTTTGCCCTGTGTTATCGGACCACACCTGGAGTGCTCTGCTCCAGTGTCCCCTCCCAGAGGAACGTAATTAAAGGAAAAGGAGAATAGCCAGAATAGTAAAGACCCAGGCAAATGCAGCATGATGAATGTTGAAAAACGGCTCAAACTATTTAGGCTGGAAGACACGTGCTTCCAGAGGCAGGAGAGGAGCAGGATCTTTGACTGCAGTATGAACTTCACTGCAAGATGGAGTCAACGCCGTGTGTGTTCTAGTGGGGCAGGGCAAGGACTGGGAGGCAGAAGTTCCAGGGAGGTAGGCCTGGCTCAAAAGAAAAAGAGATTTTCCAACAAGAAGTCATATCCCAAGGTGAAATGGTGTGCCTTGTGAAGTAGTGAGTTTCCCAAGTCAGGAGGTGTTTAAGCCGAAACTTATGACCGTCAATGAGAGGTTTTCTGATCGGTCATTCTCAACCTCTTATGGGGTAAGAATCACTGTGAGACTTTTTTTTTTTTTTTACTGTTTATTTATATTTGAGAGAGAGTGAGAATGTGTGAGAGTCGGGGAGAGGCAGAGACAGAGGGGGACAGAGGACCTGAAGGGGGCTCCGGGATGACAGCAGAGACCCCAATGCAGGACTCAAACCCACAAACCATGAGACCATGACCTGAGCCAAAGTCGGGCGCTTAACCTACTGAGCCACCCAGGTGCCCCAATCACTGGAGATTCTTAAAAACAGATAGTTAGAGCCTGCGGCTCAGTTGCTGAGGTAGGTCAGCATCCTCGGGCCAGAGTCAGGTGCCTGCTGTCCGTGAGTTTGGCTCGCGGATCTGGGCCGGAGCCTGAGCCTGCTTCCCGATTCTGTGTCGTCTCCTCCTCCCTCCCCCCCTCCATGCTCTGTCTCTCTCTGTCTCAAAAATAAATAAAACGTTAAAAAAATTTTTTTAAATAAAAAATAAAAATCAGATTGCTGCTTCCAAGTCCGTGAGATTCTGACACCGTGTGTCTGGAGTGTGACCTAGGGATTTGCCTTTGACAAAGTCCCCCAGTGCTGCTGCCGGTGGTGGTCTGCAGGTCACATTTTGCGTAGCAGGGCTATATTCATATATAATGTAAGATTGGACCAGACAATCTAATTTTCCAATTTGGAGAGTCCTTTGTGACAATCACAGAAAACAACTACAAGTTCAGTGTGTGAATTTCGGTATCACCAAAATGAATTTGCTCTGTAATAAATGCATATAAAATAACTTCATGTGTATGCCCTGATTGAAAGATACCCATTGAACGACATCTAATTGTACGACCATGTGCATTGTGATCTCATTTGCAGAAAGAAACTATTTACCTATGATTGCCCCTGTATGTGCAGGGTTTTTAAAATTTTTTTTAATGTTTATTTATTTTTGACAGAGACAGAGTGTGAGCGGGGTAGAGGCAGAGAGAGAGAGAGAGAGAGAGGCAGAATCTGAAGTAGGCTCCAGGCTCGGAGCTGTCAGCACAGAGCCTGATGAGGGGCTTGAACTCATGAACTGTGAGATCATGACCTGAGCCGAAGTCAGAGGCCCAACCGACTGAGCCACCCAGGCGCCCCTGTATATGCAGTTTTAGGAAGACACAAAACACTTAACAGTGGCTTCCTCTGGGGATAAGGATTGGGTATGTGTGCATGGGGAGGGGACAGTCTTCCACATTTTATGGATTTTTTTTTTTAACTGAGAGAGACTATACACTATCGGTGAAACAAAATAGGCAGCAACGGTGATAATTAATCCAGATCATCGGTCTCCTGTCCTGACAGGCATGCTTCAGAAAGGTATTTAAAACCTGCAGAGAAGATTTAGGGGGTTCAGAATAAGCTAGACAGATGACTTAAATATTGCAAATTTTCCAAATAGATACCTAACACGCCTCTCACTTTGAGGTCTGTGAACAATGTGTACATGTGTGTAGTTATGCTTATTGAGCATGGTTCACAAAGTGCAAACAGAGCAGTTGTTGGAAATGTACTAAGCAATCGCACAATAGAGCCCTACACTGAGGGGAGCCCCCTGGCGAGGTAACTCATCTAAACCAATGGTGGGTTTTGTCAGTGTTCACGCTCGCCCTCTGCTGGCCACTCTGGGGGAAACCACAGCGGTTTTAAAACAACAGTGTCCTCCCCGACTACCGTCCGGACCATTCATTCATTCCAAGGGTATTAACTGGTCACCTACTCTGTGCCAGGTGCATATATGTATCATCATGCATGATACTTTCGTATTTGTTGTATGATTCGATTTACTTTCTGGTAGCTTTAAAGTATTTTCTCATTAAAAATATATCCAGTGTAGAGAGGAAGACAAGGCGGAAAAGTGATGTGAAAAACAAAATTTTATATGTTTAGTGTAAGCCCTGACAGTTGCTTTTTTTTTTTTTTTTTTTTTTTTTTTTTTTTTTTTTTTTGTAATGCAAGTGGTAAGGCAGCCATTTCAAAGAGGCATCCACTTCACAGGCTATCTGGAATAAACACATTGCCAGCCACGCTGCTCCATAGAGAGCCGGGCAGCCTCTCTGCACTGAGGCTCCTTCCTTTCAGAGATCCTGGCCGATTTGGGTAACTGGCCATTTGGGCCATTTCTCTTTTCTCTTCCCCTGCTTTAAATCCCCATGCTTTAAATTCACCAATAAAGAGTAAGCCTTCAAAACCTTAAGTCCCCATCCTCAACCCTAACAAAAGCAGTATCCCTGGCCAGTTAGTTGGCTCTCTCTCTCTCTCTCTCTCTCTCTCTCTGCCTTTCTCTCTCTCTTTCTCTCTCTACCTGCGACCTCGCTGCGTGATCCCAGGTGTACTGTGTAATTTCCAGGTCTTCTAAGTAATAAAGCTTTATGTTTTCAAACTTTCATAACGGTTGTTACTGAAGGATATCTTGCAGTCGTAAGAACCATGAGGGTTGGTCCAGTCATAACACTGGTTTGGAAAGGGGAAATTCTGTGGGAAATTCGCCGGGGCCCAGGTGAATGCCCCCAGACTTTCCCAGCCCATAACATTCCCCTCAATAGGCTGAGACTGGCACAAAACAATATTTTAAAGGAGTTCTGATAATTTTTTGAAACAGTGAAACAAGGTAAAGGCATGTAATAGAGACCATAGCATTTTAGGACCAGGGATGGCTTAAGAAATTATTTAGTTCAACCTTCTTTAGAGTCAAGAAAACGGAGACAGTACCAGCTAGTGTAAAGGCAGACAGAAAATTAGGGGGAAAAAATAGCCAGCACTAAAATTTATATCACCTTTTTCATTGATTTGCCACATTTGCAACTGAAGACAGAAATAATCACAAAGCAAAAGAATCAAGTTGTTGTGCTCGGGCTTCTTGTTGTTGCGGATTTTTATGTTTAAGCCACGACCACTGGTTTGATAAAGGAAACACATAAGAACTAACACTTTACGTAGAAACATGAACTTAGGGGCGCCTGGGTGGCGCAGTCGGTTAAGCGTCCGACTTCAACCAGGTCACGATCTCACGGTCCGTGAGTTCGAGCCCCGCATCGGGCTCTGGGCTGATGGCTCAGAGCCTGGAGCCTGTTTCCGATTCTGTGTCTCCCTCTCTCTCTGCCCCTCGCCCGTTCATGCTCTGTCTCTCTCTGTCCCAAAAATAAATAAACGTTGAATAAAAAAAATTAAAAAAAAAAAAAGAAACATGAACTTAGGGTTCATCCACATGGATGTAAATATGGCTGAGGTCAGAGAACAGAGGGGAAGACCAGGGGTGAGTTGAGAATAAATTAAAAACAAGGAAATCTGATCCCAACCCTTTGCAAGGTATGGGATTTAGGAGTTCCAGAGAGAACATGCCTGCTCTGATCCAGGGCTGGAGTCTGGCAGAGCTCAGGAGACCAAGACTGTGAGAGAACCCAGACACTGCTAGGGCACTTGATATATAAAAGACAAAAGCACTTGATCTTGTGGTTACACTCTGCAAAGGTTGTGAAGTCTTGGTTTACCAAGTCTTTTTTTTTTTTTTTTT